GCATGTGGTAGTTCCAAATGAAGTTGTTGGACAGGTTGAATGTAGTGGTGATCTGGTCCAAGTTGTAGGTGATTCGGTGTAGTCGTTGATGTAGCTGGCGTGTAGGTAGGTGGTGCTCGTCTTTGATTGAGATCATGTGGCTCACGTAGTCGCGGCAGAAGTTGATGAGTTGTCCAGCACTGACAAATCGTAGTAGAACTTCTGGTGGAATGTGTAGTTGGATGATGACCATCGAGTTGGTGTGCTGAGTTGTGAGGTGTAGTGATGTTAGGTTGTAGTAGTAGAAGTTGACTGCCTCTGAAAGACGTAGGTGAAGAGGTAGTGAGTCGTAGTGTGGCATCCGTAGGTCTGAAGGTAGGTCGTGAACTGGTAGGTTGTAGTTGAGCTCGGGGATGGGTGTAGTTTGTTGTTGACTTAGTAGTTGGAACTCCTCGAGCGTCAAAGCCACGTAGACCCTGAAGTAGTTCTGCTCCGGGTCGATCGCTGGAGTGTCAGGGATGTTGTTCTCAATTGTAGTGAGGTGTGCCAAGATGTCGTCGGGTCTGTAGAAAGGTGCCGGTGTGGGTAGTTGGCGATTGAAGTTGTAGTTGAGGGAGTTGTGGGCCTCAGGTGGTGGTGTGGCCAAAGTAGCCATGCTGCTGGAGTCGGTAGTGCCCTGCCGATCCGGTGGTGTGAAAACACGGTCCGGTGTAGTACTGCCAGCCTGTTGTTCGACGGGCAGAGTAGTCTCTGGCGCTGGTGTAGTAACCTCCATCGGCATGACATCCAGCGTAGTCGCATCCATGGGCGTAGTTCCAGCCATTGCTGGTAGTTCGGCCTATCGAGATGCAGTGAAACGGGGCAGACAGTAGTGAGCCAATGTTAGCTCACAAAAGCACATGCGGGCATGTAGTAAAACACAAAACAACATGTAGTGTTGACTCAAGCCGCCAAAAGCCGCCAAAAGTGCAAGTGCAAATTACTGGTGGTTACAATTACTATTACTTGTAGTCACTGTTACTGTTACTGTTACTTAAATACAGGTAGTTACATATGGCCATATACAAACTGTTGTGGTTGATGTGCAACAGTTGTGAAACAGTTGTTGTTCGTAGTGCTAAACACGTATGCCAATGCTCTGTATGAGCCTCTGTAGTGTTTCTTTGCTAATGTATTTTGTGAACAAGTCTGAGCTGTTGTGTAGTGTGTTGATTTTGAGGATTCTGATGATGTCGTGCTTGATGAGGTCTTGTGTGTAGAGAAATTTAAGGTCGATGTGTTTTGCTCGTTTGCTAGTGCCTTGTCGTGTAGCAATGCTCTTGCCTGCTGTGGAGTCTGTGTGGATGCGTAGATTTAGCTTGCTGCAAATGTTGGTTTCAAGTAGGAAGTTTCTGAGGTGTAGTCCCTCATTAACTCCTGTGCAAATGGCGTAGAGTTCAGACTCTGCTGAGCTGAGTGCTATTGTAGCTTGTGTTCTGCTGCCAAATGCAACTGTTGTTCCTAAAAAGATGATGTTGAAACCTGAAGTTGATTTCCTGGTAGTAGGGCATCCTGCCCAGTCGGCATCGACATGAACGTCGAGATCCAGGATGTTGTTGGTGTTTGCTCTGAGTGTTGTTGTTGGTTCTATGGTGAATTTGTAGTGCTTGGTGCCGTGCAAGTAGCGTAGTAGATGTTTGACTCTCTTTTGTGAAAGTTCTGTAGGTGCTGTGAGGTCTCGTGCTAGTTCTTTTGTGGAGTATGCAATGTCTGGTCGTGTGTATGCTAACCATTGAAGTTTGCCAACAATCCTTCTGTACCTTTTGTGTTGTTCGTGGTCAAGTAGTGCTTCATCTTCTATTGTTGGTTTGTAGTGTGCAATTCCTGGAGTGTTCACTGAGTTGCAGTTGTTCATTCCAGACTCCTCGATCATGTTGTCGATGTAGGAGTCCTTTAGTCCCAGGTTGCAGTAGTTGCCAAAGTGGTCGATGTTTCTTCCAAGAAATTGTTGTGGTTTGCCAGGTTCGAGGTAGCCGATGTGCTTGAGTAGGACCTGCTTCTGGATGGCCTCGAAGGTGGAGTCGACAGTAGTCTTGTCACCAAGTACCAAGAGATCATCCACGTAGACCATGATGTAGCAGTCGCGAGTCGCGTTGGTGTAGACGTTAGGTTCTGACTTTAGTCTTACAAAGCTGAGTTTTTGTAACACTTCAGCCAGGTAGTCCTGCCATGCTTTTGGTGAACTGCGTAGTCCATACATGGCTTTCTTTAGTCGCCAGATTTTGTCCTGTTGTGGACAAAGTTCTTTAGGTGGCCAAAGGTAGACGTCACGTTGTTTACCGTCGTGGTCTTTTGCGATGGGTGCGTGTAGAAATGCTGTAGAGACGTCACCTAGTCGCGCTATCCAGTTTGGTCGTGACATTTGTAGTGCGAGAAGTGTCCGGAGTGTCGTGAACATTGGTGTAGAGGCGTAGACGGAGTCTTCGTCCTCGATCTTCTCGGTGTAGCCTTTTGCGACGATTCGGCTTCGTACTCCTGGTCCTTTCTTTCTGTGTACCCATCTTGTAGGTATCGCTTCTCTGATGACGTTGTCGTCGACGGTAGACGCATCTACTTCGTCGTAGACGTCATGTAGTTTCATTTGGTTTGACTCGTGTTTCATTCCTTCCAGTAGTTGTGTTTCGTCGTAACCTTCGTTGTCGAAGATTATGGGTTGGTCTTCTGAGGTGTCGTCGTTTGTGTAGGGTGTGATGAATTTGCCGTTGGGAAGTGTCACTGCGTTAATTTTCTGTCGTAGTGGTGGTGGTTCTTTGGTTGCTTGCTCCGTTGATCTGATTGTAGTGTCCTTTGAGGTCTTCTGTGCTTTAGTGGGTTGCATTACTTCTTCCGGAGTTAAACGTCGTAGTGTTTGTCGAGGTGGTGCTGGTAGTGGTGGATGTTGTCGTCCGGTTGGTGAAGTAGCCATCGGACTATCCGGTAGTGGTCGTGAACTTGACGTCGATGTTGACGGAAGTCGTGGAGGTGGTGTGGTGCGTTGTTGTTTTGTTGCGGGTTCCGCAACGATGTCGTCCGTAGCGTTCGTTTGTTGTCCGGAATCTTGCGTGGACCTTCTTTTCTCTGACGGTGGTAGTTGCGCATCCAACAGTGTTGCGAACGATGGGTTGTAGGTGTTCCGTCGTGGCGCCCACGGTGTGCCGGAAACTTTGTTCAATAGTGCGAACTCCCAAAAGCAGACCTACGGATGCAGAAATGCATCTGGCTCGGAAAAGTTTCCGAAACCGGAGAAAACTACGTCGCAACAGAATCAGGCGTACAAAAGGTACGAACAGTGCGGAGACTACAACCGGACTTCAAATACGACCTTCTTGTGTTGTGGTGGAAGGTAGAGTAGTGTCTCGCCAAATTCGCAGATTGCTCGCTCGTAGTTTCTTCCCCAGCGGCGTTCAAAGCTTGTGTAGCCGTCTGAGTGGATGACGTAGCGATTTACCGTCACTGCTGCATGTCGTACTATCCAAGGTAGTAGACAGTGCTTTGTGGACATCGTCATGCTGTAGTTGCTTTCAACCTGAGCTTTGACGACGCGGATTTGTCCGAGGAGTGTTCTATGTAGTCGCTCAACGCTTCCTTGACTGTTGCTGCTGTAGGACGGTGAATGTCGTACAGTCATTGAGCCGACTTTAGATGCTGTTGCTTGTAGTAGTGCATTGAGTGTGTCTTCGTTGTCGCTTTGTAGTATGCCGCGTGTTCTTCCGCATTCAAAGATGAATGCTTGTAGGTTGTTGATCATGTAGTCCATCATCGATGGTTTGTCCGGAACCACTTCCGCCATGCACAGTTGTGTAGTAATTAACATCAACTGCCGTTAAGACTGGTATGGTCTTCGGATCTTGTTGTGATTTGATGTAGGCAAAATCCACTTGGATGATGGGTTGTCGCGCTTGTTGTTTCTTGTAGTTGTCCTGGCATCCTTTGCCTTGAACGCAAATTGGACACCAATTTCTGTATGGTAGGTGTGTCAAGTTGTGTTCTGCTATTTGTTGTGGAGTGGGCTGCTGAGGTTGTCGTAGTCCTATTGCTCTGTGTGCTTCATGATGCTCGTGTTGTTGTTCCTCATCGTGGTTCTCTTGGATGTACTTGTAGTCTTTCTTCACGGTGAACCTTGTTGTGCCTTTCCATTGAAATGGTAGTGCTGCGTTGCCCATGACTGTCCAGTCATCTTTGCGTTGTGAAACTTCTCCAAAGTTGTTGTGAGTGATTGTAGTTCTGTGAGGTTCAAGTGTGTTGATTGGTGGATGTCGTGGTCCATCTGTTGGAGTGAATAGGGTTGTTCTAAGTGTTGTGTGGTGTCTTATCCAGTGTTCACCTTGTCTTTCCCAGTAGTCTTGGTTGTCCTCCTGTGCTGTGAGTGGTCTGTGGATTGTCTCCTTTGGTTGTGTGGTGTCAAGATTGGTAGAAGGTGCTGCTTTAGGTCTCCATATCTTTTGTGGTGCTCGTAGTTGGATCTTTGATCTGGTTGGTGGTGTGTCCATTAGCCGTTGTGGTTGTGAGCTCTGCCTTGTTGGTGTTGTCTTTGATGTTGCTCTGCGTGTAGGTGTTATCTTTCTTCTGAATCTGGTTTCTCCAGTCCAGTTGTCACCTTCTAGTCTTCGTTGTAGTTCTTGCTTGGAAAGTTGTGTTGGGTTCTCTTGTAGTTGTTCTTGCTCTTGCCCTTGTCTGTTGATGATGGTTAGTCGCCAATCATCTAGTTCTCCTTCAGGTATTGGGCAGCCGCTGTTGTGTGGTGTGAATAGTGCTTTGCGTGGTCGTTTGTGTACTCTGATGGCGTAGTCACCATCAAGTTTCCAGTAGTCAGTGTTTCCACCAAGGATCTGTCGTAGTCCTTGGTCTGTGTGGGTGAGTGGTGCGATTTGTTCTTGTTGTTGTACTGCTTTCTCTGTAGGTTGAATCACAGCAATGGATTTTCCATTGTATGTAGTCATTGGGTAGATGTCGAATCCAGTAGGGATGTCGATCTTCTCTGCTCGTAGGTAGAAAAGTCCTGAGTGTCTTATGAGGTGTGCTTGTTGTTGTCCATGTGTGATGGTGCAGTGTCGTGGAGTGAAGTCAAGTCCATATCCTCTATCAAGTAGTCTTGATGCACTGAGGATTGGATACTTCACATCACAAACGTAGTAGGGTATCATGATCCTGAAGTTGTCCTGCTTGTAGGGAACGTACTTGATGCCGTAGACAGGAATCTTCTTGTTTGTAACCGTGTAGAGTTGTGGAACCGATTCTCCACAAGGTCGTAGCGGTAGGTCTGGTGCGTAGTCCTTCGGGCAAACATGTGTAGATGCTCCTGAGTCGATCAACAGGTGGTGGTATGACTTGAAGTTGGAATACATGATGTAGTGTGTGATAGTGTCCTCAATCTTCTTGTTCCTTTGTGGTTGTCTTGCTGCTGCTATGTCAAAGTGTGGCTGTGTGTTGTCTTCTTGTAGGAATTGTTGAAAGCTCTTGCTGTGGTCGTTCCATGATGTTGTGTGTGTTGTTCTCTTGCCAAGTAGTGATTTGGATTTGTGCTTGTGTAGTCGTGAGTTTGCTTGTCTGATGTGTCCAATGGTGAGGTGTGACTCGTTGATGCCTCCAATGTAGTTTGCTGTGTCCTCATAGCTGTTGTCACTCCAATCCCAGCTTTTCTATTGGATGTAGTTCTTCTCCTTCTCCTATGTGCCATACTGGCACTCTGCAGTCTTGTGCCCAGTGGCCGGGCTTGCCACATCGATGGCATGTTGTGTAGTTGTTGTTTCCTTTCCCTTTTGATTTGCTGTAGTTTCCTTGACCTTTGTAGCCTTTGCTTGATCCATATCCTTTGGATCCTGAGTAGCCTTTTCCTTTGCTCTTGTTGTATCCTCCTTTGTTGTAGTTTCCTTTGCTGCCTTTGTCGAATCCTTTGTAGTGGCCTTTGCTTCTGTACTTGCCTTTTCCTTTGTTTCTTTTGTAGTGTCCTTTGCCTCCATATTTGCCTTTGCCTTTGTAGTTTCTTCCTTTTCTCCAAATGTTGCCCACGTCCATTGGTGCTGTTCCACCCTTGTAGTTTGTGCCAACTGCTGAGCTCGCTCTTGAGAATGCAGATATAGCTTTGTAGTAGTCCAGGATCACAACTCTGATCTCGTTGTAGTTCGTGATCTGTCCAGCGCGTAGTTGGAGATGTTGTTGAAGTGCTCCTTTAGTCTTGTTGAGTAGTATTGCAATCTTCACTCCATCTGGTAGTGCTGTGCCGTTGTCTTTCTCGTAGCGGTTGATGTCATACTCCCACTGTAGGAATTGTTCTTCAAATTGTGCTTCATTGAATGTAGGTTCCAGTAGTTTGGTGAGGTAGCCAACACTGCGTGTTCCTACTGGTAGGCTGAACCTGTTGTGCAAAAGCCGTAGTGTTTCACATCCATTGGCATTGTAGCGGTTTTGTCTGACCACTGTAGCTGCTGCACCTTGGCAGATGTTGATGAGGATGTAGTGTAGATCTCGTGAGAGGTCTACTGCTTTTGCTGCCTGTGTAGGGTCGCGTATGTGGGCTCTGATGTCTGCATCTTCAATTTGTCTTGTAGCTGCTTGTGCTAGTTGTAGCACCATGTCGAAGTCTCGGTCGATGAGTCCGAGGTATGCTTGTAGTTTGAACAGCCACTCTTCGTACTGTGAGTAGTCACCAGTGAAGAACGGTGGTGGCAGTTTGTATTTGTGTAGCCTTTGGACGTCTTCCTGCTCCTGTGTTGTTCCCGTAGTTGTGGCTCCTATTGTCTCCTCTGCTGTGGGCCCGTTGTCTGCTCCTGTAGTTGGTTGTGCTGATGCTGCTGCTGGTTCTCCTGACATGTCGTAGTAGTTGGGCATGTGGTTGCCTGTGCAGTTGTAGTACTTACTGCTGTTACTGGAGCTCCCCTATGTTTAGGATCTCAGCTCCGCTACCACGTTAAAATACGTTGGTACTTTACTGCAAGTGCAAGTGTTGTTTCTGTTGTCACAAACACAAATGGAGTTAGCCAGCATGCACTCTTTTCCTGGTAGACTCAAGGCCTGCAGTCGGGTAGTGTACATCATGCATGCACAAGTGACAAGTAGTGCAACGTGATATTTGACATGTCTCTTTCTCTCTCTCTCTCTCTCACCAAGTCACGACAAACTGCCGTAAAACGTCGCCATGATCTTCGCACGGCATTGCAGCATCCCAATGTGGCATGAATGAAAATGTCCAGAGTGGGTCATGGTCATTACCTCAGTGGGACCCGTCCAAAGGCTGCCTGGAGAATCTCGGCTGTCAAATGTTTTGTCGTGTGCCAAATGCTAAGAACCCACAAGACGTGCACGATCGTGCCGCGGCAGTCAAAAGAAGAAGAAGAAGAAGCAGGAACTCAACCATTGCAAGTTGAACTCTAACCACTTCCAGTCCAACAATGCCCCAAATTCAACAGAAGGCCAGGAACAGTATGGCCCCTTCCATGGCGAACGCATCCAATCCAAGGCAAGCGCGACCAACGAACCCAACTCCCAACTCCCAACGCAAGCCTCGCGGAGGTCTCGGCTCCAAAGCCTCGGCCTTTGGGCCGCGCCGAAGGGCGATGAGGTGACTTGGCCATGGGGCCGGCATAACCCATGACGATCCCATTTTGGGGAAAATGAACATCCATGTACTATGTTCACCAGGGGTTTCCTGGGTGTTGACCCAAAGCCACTTCTCGAGACGAATCCAAATCGGGGAGGACCCGAAATAGAAAAGAGTTCCTTGGTTCCCATAATGTCAAAGATGCCCCTTTCGGGGATACACTAAAGACACGCCCCTTGTAAACCATCCGTGGTTTGCCTTTTAAGGGGATTCCAAATGTTGCGCTCCCCAAAACCTTGATATTCCCGACTGACAACCAAGATGAGACGAGTTTTATTTTTCGTAGCCACATGGCTGCTCCCACCTGCGTCCAAGGGAACGCAGGCCTACCGTTTGGGCAGCCAAATGCGGGTCAGCATCATCTCCCGTGTTCACGCGGAAGGCTCCCAGGCTCTGCTGCGTCGTGTGTCGGATGTGCCTATGTGTGTTGGCTTGTTGGCTTGCTGGCGTGTGTCTGTTTTTGTGTCTGCTGGATGGTCTAGTTGCTTGCACCAAGGGGTGCTGGTTGTACCTGTGCGGCAAGCCAGCCCACCCCGGTTCTCAACATGGTACATGGCTGTGGGTCAAAAATAGGGTAACCTCAAAATGGCTTGCCCTGGCAAATGGAAACCTGGACTAAAACTCTGCGGTCCGATTCCTGGTGATGTAATTTTGACCCGTGCCCACCTGTCGCATCTCCCAGAAGCTCCGGCAAGCAACCGCTGCTTGCTTGCAACCGTTCCCAGCTCCGTTGGAATTGGATGATTCGAGGAGTTCGGGCGCCTCTTCGTTGACTGGTGAACCTTCTTTTACCTCAGGAACTCATCCAAAATACAACTAAAAATACAAAAAATTAAAAAGAGAAAAGACAAAGAGACAGATAATTAATAGCTTTTGACTGCTCGTTCGCTATACGACTTCTGACACCGTCCGCCTCCCTCGACTCTCAATCCACAAGACTCGCCTGAGAAAGCGCGTGCTCGCCAGCTGGAGCCTAGCAACAGGTGCCGGCAGGATCTTTGAGCTTTCTGAGCACTGAAATCTCAAGGTGCTCCTTCAACAAATAGTATCGCTGTTGAGGGAATCCCCCAATTTTTCAACTCTTGATTCCCGTACCCTCAACAAGAAGACAGCTTTGCCGGTTTGCAGTCAAAGCAAAGGAACAAACCGGCCCTTCACTCATGAAATCTGTCCTTTTTGTCGGTCCTGTTTCTGGGCTTCGCTGCCATGGAAATCCACATGCTTGATCCTGGCTTTGATCCTGCTACTGTGCGTGGACGAAATCGGGATAGATGAAACCCTAAGAATGTTGGGATAGACCTCCTACCAATATGGACCCTGTCTTTTTGCACGCGGATGTCTTTCCGTAGCACCCGAGGCCCATTCAAACTTCCCTGTCAAGGCCAAGCCTTGAAGAAAAGCATACCACACTTTAGCAGCCGGACAACCTAGCCACATTAGATCACCAAGGCTCGAATCTCTCAGAAGCCGCCACGAGGCCGCTGTCATAGGTGTCCTGTTAGCGGAAATTGATGGCCCTGGTAGATGATTAAACCACCAGGTAAACCAGGGCCATCTATTTTTCTACCAAAGCCACCAAGAAGGACACCAATCGTCGCTGTGTCACTGCCCGACTTTGCCACCGAAAACCCGACAGCGCGTTGCTCCAGGCCTCAACATGGCCCCAAAAAGGGAGCAGGCCCGTCACCCGCGCGACGTTTCGCGCGCGCGATCCTGGCACGAGCAAATGTGAGCCGCAGCGATCGAACCGGATTCAAGGATGAAAGGTCAGGGACCCTCCCAATTTGGTGTTGGTTACCTCTCGAACATAAAATTACACCAGCGTAGACCCCAGATAGCAAAACACGTGCCAACGATTGCACGCCAGCACCTCTAACCGCACTACTAAAGAGCACTTCAACCAATGCCCAAACAGCATCCCAAAACAACACCTGCACAAGAATCCCCAAATTGCAGCCTGTCGTCAACTTGCATCATCAGCACCCCCAACTGTATGCCCCTAGTACCCGCCGTCAATCTTGCAAAACGAGCCAACGCCCTTCACCAGCCCCCCCCCAAAAAAAAAAAACGCCCGCGCCAGCACCCCTGTCAGCAAAAGTGCACCCGCGCGAGCACCCCGAACAGCACCCCCAAACAGCATCTGCGCCAGCATCCCAGACTGCATGCCTCTAGCACCCTACCGTCAATCTTGCAAAAGCGTCACACATCAAAAGGGCCCTTGCAGTCAGTCACCAGCACCTCAAACAGCACCCCCCAAACAGCACCTGCACCAGCACAAAAAGCGCCCGCACCATCAACAGCACCTACACCAGCATCCCAAACTACCAGCCCCCTAGCACCGAGCTGTCAATCACGCAAATCACATTCCTTTCTCCAGAAGCTAAAACCCCAAGAGCTCTCAGCTATCTTGGGAAATCTTCAAGAGACCCTAGTTTCCACACGTGCACTTGGTCCTCTCTCGCGCCGCTGGCGCAGTTCTCTTCTTCAATCCAACACGTGCCAAGGTGCCACCCCTCTCGAACCATTCCTTGCGAGAGAATCTGGAACCCGACCTGAAGATCTGAAGCCGTGCCCATCCCAGGTCATCCTTTGCATATGGGTGGCTCCTTCGGGCACCCCATCTGTTTCGTGGTGAAGTTAAACCAAAAGGAAAACCGCACACAACGTAGTGGGTCCCCTTAAGAAAGAGAGACCCGTATCAATGTCTGAAACCGCGGATCTCGGACTCATCGCTTCGAAACAACTGCAAGAACGACTAGGATTCTATTCAGCGGCCGCTGGATCTTGTGGCTGTGCATGACAGGGGCCTGATATCATGTTCCGCCTGGAAGAAGTCACAAAAGGGGGTCCTGCACAGTGAGGTTCGCCCACTCTGTCGGGACCCAGAACGGAGAGTTGCCGGAGCCAAAGTCGCTCCACATTGGTTCTTGAAACTTGAAATTCAGGCAAAAGGCAACCGAACCATGCTCACTTCCTGAGTGGATGGGCCAAAAACAGTCCAAACTGTTTGTTTACCACCAAAATAGCATAAAGTCCAGGAACTCAGGAAGTGAGAATGGTATCCTCTTTGCCTTTAGCCAACTGGGATTCGTTTCGGGGTAGCCGCGGCAAACCAGAAGATGCCGGAAGAAGTCTAAAGAAGCATGGACTAAGCATGGTTGCCTCCGTTTGTCAACAAACGATCTTGGCATTCCCGTGTTCCAACAACCTGCCACGCACGAGCTACTGAAAATCTGTGAGATGGGCCCATATAGCTCGGATCGAAGCTCCCAACATCCGCGCCTGCTTCTTTACAGGATGGCAGAAGTCGCGCAAATGGAAGGCTTCGTCTGTCTGAAAAAAAGCTGAAAATGCCTGGTCTCTGCTCGTACAGCATAGTACAGCGGTGTGCCGCCTGCTGGCTGTTGCCATGTCTCTGTTGGGATCTGGGTCAGGGTTGAGTTGGACAGCCAAAGTGTTGAGCTTGTAGTGTGAGTTCTTCAGCTTGTGTACCAATGCTTGAGTGCTGGCAGTCCAGCTCAGAAAGCTGTCCCGCTGGCAAGTGCTCTCTGCTAAGCTCATGGTCCTTCAAACGGCTCTAGCCACGGCGCAGGCGGTTCAACATGTGGGGCCTTCATGAAGACTCCCGGCGGTTGTAAAACAGGGCACCCTTTTAGGAGGAAACAGGCTGGTAAAAAACCTGGTACTTTTTGTGCTGTTCTTGCGGTTTGCTGCTAGGCTGTGATGCGTCGAGTTGCAGTTGTGAGCAGGGCTGGAGGAGGGGTGGGGGAGGAGGGGAGGGGGGGTGGGGGAGGAGCGGTGGGGGAGGGGGGGTGGGGCATGTTATCGTCGTTATGAAAGGCTTGCAAGCACACGAACACAATGTTGGCTGCAAATGCTGGCAAAGAGCATCTGGAGAGCCACCATGTCCATCCCAGCAAACATGAATTTGCTAGAAGGGTCTCTGTGACGATGGGAGCACGCAAACGACCCGCTTGCTTCATAGTGGGGACTCAAAGTATAGACAAATGGTATCCTTGCAAGACGATATACAAACTCAGCTGCACTCTCATGTGTTTCGCTACATGCGTCGCTTTTTTAAAGTATCGGCTTCGAGAAGGATTTCTGCCGTGCGTTGGCTGCAGTTTGTTGATTCAGATTTTCGAGCAATTGAACTGCAACTATGCAAAAAGAATTGGGTGTTTGACTTTTTGTGCATAAAAACAGTGCAGTCCTAATTCTCCCGTTCACTGGATGACAAATTGCAGAGAAGCCAGGGGAAAACGCGTGTGACACAGCTTTCGCTTCCAGGTTTAGTCTTTTGCAGCCTGTGACCTTTTAGGACCCCCCGACCCCCCACCCCCCCCGCGCTTCAAAGGCGGGCCAACATGAAACCCGAGTCACAGTGGCTACCCATGACACAAAGGACGCGCTGCATTGAATACCAGGAACCTGCACGTCGGTGAAAGCTAAAAGAAGCAAGGAGGCAATTTTCGGCGATACTGTGAATGGACAAAACCCTGCACCACCGAACAAACCCTGGAATGATGATTCCCAAGCAAATATCAACAAGCAATGGTTTCCCATGGCTTCAAAGTGGGTGCGAACGGATTTCGCAACCATCCACTGTAGATCAAACATGTCAGACCTCTCTATGCATAGGTGTCCTTTTAGGGGAAATAGATGGATTTCCCTGGTAGATGATTAAACCACCAGGTCAACCAGGCCATCTATATGACATAGGGTCATTTACAGGAAAAGCTTGGACAGGTAATACTATGACATAGGTCACCATGACCCTGTCCTGGGTTATGTCACTATCACCCATGCTAGTTTGCCTATGCCACCCCTTAAACCAGGTAAACCTCGATGTTTCTAGCAAAACGACCAAAAAGGACACCTATGTCTCTCTGGCTTCGCGAAGCATCGCCCCAACCTCCCGGGTCCCGAGTAACCAAAAACGCGGGCGCCTGCACGGCTGCAAGCTCAGGCATCCCAGGCCAGGCGCAGGAGGGAAGGCGCTCGAAGCGACTTGGCTTTAAAGCCAAACACAAAGAACTGAGAGACGAGAAAGAAACATCAGGATTGGCTCTGGTGGTTGGTTGCTGATTGTTGGCTGTTGGTGCTTGGTGCTTGGTGGTTGGCTGTGATTGCTTCCCTCAAAGCGAAAGCAAAAACAAAACAAAAAAGAGTGATTGCCCTCGCCCAAACGAGAACCGAGTCAAGTCGTTACCCACAGAAAGCGCCACCCAAAAACCCCCACCGGGAGAAGGCAACGGCGGGAGAGCACCAGCTTCTCGCTCGCCTCGGCCGTCGGCGAGTCGCTCTTTCAGGCGAGTGAAGCTTTTGGGTTTTTCGCCAGGACACGGGAGGACCATCAGACCATCCCCTTTTAACGGGTTCCCGGTTCCTCATTTTGGAGACTGAAGAAAAAGATGGCTCATCCCCATTCTTCGGGTTCCGGGTTCCTGAGACGAAGAAGACTTTCCGTTGGCGCAAACTTTTTCATTTCTGGCTGTTTGCTGGTCCAGTTCGATGAGGGTTTGAGTCATGATCAGGACCGATGGGTCTCAAAGTGGTCGGTAATGCAAAGAATTTATTGAGGCGCTGCACCAATTCATGGTTGGGGCTTACTAACCTTCATCTACACGGATGTGATTGTGGCTCATCTGCAGACAAAGAAGAGAGCAAACTCATCTCTGGTCGTCCATTTCGACCAACAAGTCTTGGTAGGGTCAGGCCAGCTACTGACACCAAGTTGACGGCATTGAAGTCATTGATTTGCCTTTGTCAGCCCAAGGAGGACATGCCATTCAATCCGAAGCAAATTTAGCTGCTTTAAGGGGCTGGGTACTTACTAAGCAGTTAGTAAGCCTGAGATCACCCACAAAGGCCATGGTGATAGGTTTAAGTGGGTTATCTCACCAGGCTTGTCACCACTGAGGTACCCTGCCTCGAACGCCCCTAACTGAAGCAAGCTGAAGCAACTTGGAACCGCGGCAACTGAATATCAGGGGCACTGAAGCCCACGTATCTTTCGGCCCTTGCCCAAACCCAGGCGCTGGAAAACGCTGGAAAGCGTTCACCCCATAGGAATTTCAACCAGCAAGTTTATTAGTGCCACAACACCACTGCAGCAGAACACAACACCACTCAATGCAATACGCACCGCACACCGCAACACAACACAGCACAGCACAGCGCGACGCAACACTCCCCTAGAATCTTCCCCCTGGGTTTAGTGGGGAGTCGGACCACTGTTGGAGGGGCCCCCACCCCCTATGAATAAGCTGGGGTTGAGTAATATGGGGTCCACAAATCAGCAAAATGCCCCTTTCAGCACCGTCGAACGATCCCCAATTGCGGACTTCCAAGTTTTCCCCAATGGCCCTGGAATGTTGGGAGTCCTGAATCCTCAGTGCACGTGAAACTCTTCTGCCGTCTAAGCTTGCGAGCATTTTCCTGTGCAAGCTGTTGCCTACCTTGGCGGACTGAGTTAACCCGTTAAAGAGCAACAAACATAGTTTAGCTGATTGGGCCTCAACAAGTCGATAACAGATAAGGACCTGCAAGACAGAGCTTGGCAATGCGTGCGTGTGCATCAAACATTTGCTTACCGCATGTTTCTTGAGGTTGATGACTATCCCACATGCAACGCACAAGCCCCCATGTTCGTTCATCAACCCTCCCTTCCCAAACTCCGAAAGTACGAGCCAACGGGTGTGCCGAGCTTTTGACCCTCTAAAAGGCTCCTGGATCGCCAGTTGCTGTTGTTTTTTTTCCCATGCACTGTACCCCCAAAAACCAGCAACAGTGACTAAAAAAAGCTGCAACTTGGCTATCTAGGCTGGTTTAAAGGGAAACCGCGAGAACCGGAATCTTTCGGGGGGTCTAAAAGAAAGACGCCCAAATGTTGGTCCCCCGCCCGGCTCAGAAACCAAGCGCTCGCCAATGTCTTTTCGCGGCTGCGCTGGGTTGCACAAAAATCAGCGGTCGCCACACCTTGGCGTGACAATATGCAGCTTTCAGCCATCGAGCAAACTGAAAGGAGCACACCCTTCAAAACCAAAGACACGTGTTTCGGGTCTTAGCCATCTTATTTGCTCTTGAGCGAAGCGATTCGCTCTTTCATCTTTCTTGCTTTATCTCTCTCTCTCTCTCTCTCTCCCTCTTTCGCTGCCCCTCTCTCTCTCTCTCTCTCTCTCTTTTCTGTTCAGTCGTTTCTGGATTGACCCATTTCGCCCCAGAAACCGCGCATAAACCAAGGTCAGGGCAAACGGTGCTTCCCCGATCCACGCCTTTTCTCGGGAACAAAAAGCTTCTAGGAGTAAGAGCAGACAATTGCGTGCCTGAGAGAGGCCTGTTTTTTTGTTTTCGGCAAGCAGCTCCAAAGCAAAGCCCGGAAGAAGAAAAAAACTTTCTCTTGCGAATGCTTCTCTTTTCCAAGAACGAAGGGCAGGCAGAGGCAGCGAAAAGAAAGGCCATAGTGTGCCATCCGGTGCCCCCTCACTCTTCAATGATTCCTGTTTTTGTCCCCTGCTCCGGGGTCGATGCTGGCAAATCAAAAGCCAAGCCCTACCAGAAATCAATCCTTTTGCCCCCCCCTCAAACACCCAGCCCTACTCAAAAACCCAGCAAACCCTTTACCCCACCCCCACCAGAGTTCTGGGCCCAGGCGCTCAGTCCAATTCCTTCGCGAAGCAGGAGGCGATGTTCGTTGAAGCGGTGCCCTTGCCCTGGCACCTGCCAACGAGAGCGGCTTGGTGGCCGCGCGAAGGTGCCGGTCAGACAATCAGGTGACAGGCCCGAGGAAATATGTGGGAGTGAGTTAAAATTGTGTTTGGCAATATGTGCCAAACTCACTTTGTCACAGCGAGGACAATCCTATCGTCCTATCTGGTGTACTGTTCTGGTCACTCGGGTGGTAGGAGAGTCCATCTGTCGAAGGAACTTCCACTATGGCTGGCAGATCTTGTGTTGGCGAATGTTCAAAGCTCCTGCTTGTGTCTCGCCAAAGACTGGAACCTTTGTGGCACGTGATAACAAGCCAAGAAAACTGTGGGCAAACAAAAAGAACACAAACATACTCTAGAAAAGCAAAGCAAAACCGCAGCAAAACCGAAAGTGTATCCCTTGTGTGTTGGTTGTTTTGTTGTTTTGTTTCTAGTAAGTTTGTAGTCAAGTGCATTGGCGTTATCAAATTTCAAGGATTCATGTATGTGGGTGTGTGTGTGTGTTTGTGCAAATTGGGATACCTAATCAAAGTAAACACAAGACATGCAGTAAACAAAACGCTCACACGGCTCAAAACACCAACTAAAATGTTGTGTGCGGCAAGAAACCTAAAAGAAAACAGGGTTGTGTTTTGCGTTAGTTCCAAGACAGCAGAGTGAAAGTAATTCACGGTGGGACCCATTCCCATGTTCAAACAATTCAGCCACATCAACACAAAGTTTCTCGTTGAGGGACTGCACATTTCCCCCCGACAGCGACAGCATCCGGCCTCTCCCCAGCTTCGCAGAGGCGCCAGCGGTTCCAGGGGCAGACTGGCACCCACGGCGATGAGAGGCTTCGGGGGGCTAATACTGACCCCAGATTGATAAACCCGGCCTATGATTAGCGGGGTGTCCCCTCCAAAAGTGATGAATCCCCACTAAGCAGACAACAACCGCCTAGGATAAGAACCCGGGATGTTCTAATCTGGGGTCAACATTCTGGGTCTTGAGGGTTGAGATCAACTGTTGGGTCGACCTATGTTTTGCTCTTAACTGTTGTACAACTGCTGGCCATTTGCTGCCATTGGAGCCATTTGCAAGCTGTGCCAACAGCCGAAAACTCGACAAGAAACGACTCTACACCTGGCGCACGCGGCACCACTGGAAACTTACCACTCATGAAAAAACCAAACGACCGGCTTCTTCCAACGTTTCGGTGCGGCGGTCCGGCTTCCGTGTTTGTTTTTTGGCGCATCCAAATCACATGAGCTGCACTTGGACCGAGAAAGGATCCTTGAGGCCCATCTCGCGAGTCTCCCGATCCACGGCCGAGGCCGCGGCGCTCGGTCCACTCGTCCTTCGCCCTGGCCGCGATCCACTCCCACAAGTCGCAACCTCAGCTCCCATCCATCCGCCCTTGCGCCAGCGCGTCTGTTGACTCGCCTTTGGGGTGTTTCTTTTGTGAATGTCTTCTGGTTGACTGTCCTTTTGGGCTTTTCCCCTTGCCAATCAATTAGGGGGCTCCCTAAAACCTCACAAAAGCCTTGGGCACTGACTGTCCGGAGAAGATGTGATGCATACATCTGAGTTTACATGTATGTATACACATGTGCAGGCATAAGGATAGGCTCAAAACGCGAATGTTGGCACCTTCGGGCACTCCTGACCTGGTTTCAGGGCCAAAATGGCAAAAAACTCTCTTGGCTTGGTATTGCCTGTTCCAAAATGGTGTAAACACCTCCCTGCGTTTGCCTCAACCTGGGCCTTGATCCGAATGCATCTCAAAAACTTACCCGGTGAACTGCCCATTCGTTGCCATCGTGCGGGGACCGATCAACACCCACAGACTCCGCCGCCGTTCTGACCATCTTGGACTCTCACGCGAAGCTCGAAGTGGCTTTACGGGAGCCGCAAGTGCTTCACTCACACGGCATCTGATAAATCGATCGGACCTCCGAAACCCTCGTGCCGGTCTTTTGGGGCTTGGCAAAAGCGTCGTCTCTGGGGAGCTCAGAGCTACGAGCGCTTCAGCACCCTTCCGCTTCATCCCGGGTTGCAACCACAACCAAACCCAGCCGCGCAAAGGCGAAACCCACAAGAAAGCTGGCCGAGTGGTTCGGCCGAAGTTCCGGTCCCAAAAGAAAAAAACACCATGGTCGAGGAAAGCCCGGTTGAAAACTTGGGGAACAGCCACGGGGCAATGCGTCTTGCAGCCTTCTTTTCGGATAAGTGCTGCACACCCGTTCGCACCCCCCCAGCCCCCCCCCCGCAGCCCCCACGGCTAGTTCCCTGTCAAGCTGCCGCCGGACAACTGCGCGCAAGGCAAGGTGGGCATCACGGCTGAAAATGAAGAGGCCCTTCTTAAGGAGTGGACGGGGTTGCATCTATATGGCTGTGCCTCAAAATTAAACAGGAGGGGCTACGCAGGTTTTGGTCCATGTTTCCACTTACCAGGGTTCCATTTTGGCACCGTTTTTTTAGCCACAGCCATATTCCCCCTTTCTCATAGGTGAGTTTCCCTTGGTAGAAGTGATGCTTTTAAGAGGGAAAACAGCCAGGTACAGGGGGAAGCCTGGTTGAACATCCAAGTGCCCTCACCGACTCCGAACGTATCGGCCTGCATCCCAAAACTTTCCCAAAACTGAAATGAAACAAAAGCCCAAGGCAGTGCTTCGACATCCCAAGCACCCTCTTTCCAAGAACCAAACTGGACGTTTTAGGGGTCCCCCAAAGGAAAGTCGTCTTCCAGAACCCTCCGATCGTCAGCTTCCATCATGGTTGGAGGAAGGGCATACTGAAAATTGATAAAGGAGAGCCAATGTGTTGAAAAACGCCAGTTGCCAAGGGCCCGTCTCCCTTTGTTGGCACTTGAAGACTTGTCTCCATGCAGTGCTATAGGAAGGTACTTGGAAAAAATGCAAATAGCAGGCTTTCCCTTGTTAACTCTTCACACCGAAAGAGAGCTCTCGTTTTGACACCTGCTTCCGGGTGCATGTTCCATGTCTGATGTCAGGCGTTGGTCATATTCCTGGAACAGCATCCGCACATGTCGAACCCTCGCTGCAATCACATCCCAGCCACGCAAAGATTAGCGAGCATGGCTGAAACCTTAGAACCCACGGGTCAGCTTTCAACCCAACAGCATCCCACAAGACTTTGACGCCCCGCAGAAACCGAGCGTAGAAACACAGCCACTGCCAAACCCGAAAGCACAGCTCCAGAAGGACTCAAAGGAAGAGACCCAGACCTCACTCGAACAACAAAAATATGCTCTTTAATTCATGGCAGCTATGAAAGCGGCGAGAAACTGGAAGTGGATTGAGGCAGATATTCCCTCTGTCGCATGCTCAAAGCCTTTGAGCCCTGAATCATGCCAGCAATCATGTTGACCTTTGAAAAGCAAGCACGGCGAATAAGGATTCTTTGCAGAATGGATCAACGCGTGGGCCCTCAAGCTCGTCCTCGCAAGGCCTTCTTCTTCTTTTCGACCAGCTCGCCCTTCACGTTGGTCAGCAGGCCCACGCAAGCGTAACCCTCGCTGGCGGTGCGGGCGGAGCAATAGTCCTGGCACGCACATTGCAAAGGTTGATCTCGGAAAGCAGCTCCGGTGGCTCCCCGTGACCGCATTTTCTTCAACTGGACTCGCCTGGAACGAATGTGTATTTATTTATTTTTTTTAAAAAAAAAAAAAAGAAGAAGAAAAAAAAGCAGGGACTGAATCAAAGCGGCAATGTTGACCAGCTAGATGGGAGGTCAGCGGAACTCACACCATGCCAAAACAGAAGACCACTGCCAAATGAAGTGCCTGCAACTGGACCAGCCCGGTGACCCGCTGCTTGGGACGATCTGGAGCCAATACTTCGAACCCGTGCGAATTAAAGCAAAAAACACAAAACCAGATGCGAATGAATGACTTGTATTGAGGCAGGCATTGCTTGCAGACCAAACGCATATCAAAGCTCACAAAAGCACTACGAATGTGTAAGTGCCCCAGAAGAAAACAAATCAACCACGGAGCGCCTCATCCACGAAAGGCGGTGCATCCGCGCAGTGCTTACAAGTTATGCACGAAGAACGGTATCATCCTTAAACTTCTACAGGAGTATACGTTGCTGCTACATGATTGGCACAAACGATGATTCCACGCAAAACAAACTAAAGCATAGCGCGTTATGCTGCCAATGTGCCCAGCTTGGACTTCGAAAAGCCAGCATGGGCAAGGAAGTCTTGAATGATCTGCAAGCACTGCGCATGTTGCCACACAAACACCCACGCAGAGACATGCATGCATGCAAGCAAACTTCATTGATACACACTCACACGCATCACATACTATTGTGTAATATTGCATCATATTGCATCATAATGCATTACGTGTCATACATATATCGCGTACAAGCATGAATACACAAAGTCAGATTGCATCCATTTCGATTAGATCACATCATATTGCTTTGCATGATCACACATTTGTTGACACTACACATAAAATGACATTGTGTCAAACCTGTGTAGCAAAATGCATGTGCGGACATGTTGCCCAAACAACCCCAAGGGACATGGTGTGAACATCCCCTATCACAACTCTCGCAAGTGTCGATCCCAAAAAAAGGCCACTGGGGCCCTGCGACTCATTTGGCCCCCCGTTGCTTTGCTTGGGCCCAAGCCACCAAAACAGCCAACCATTGCAAGCTTCAGATTGAATGGCCATAAATGGCTCGTGGCATGATTTCCACAAGTTGGTGTTTATCAGGGTTATTTTTGTGTGGTGCGCTACCACCTTTCTGCTTGGTGTGTACTGTTGGAGACCCAAGCCCACCTTCAGCCACGTCTTCACCTGCGTCTTCGACGCACGGCCGTCCTTAATGGCTGTCTGATGGGTTTCCCATGGGGCCTGTCAGCCTCTAAGAGTGGATGCAAATTCGAGCTTGCAAATAGACGGATGTCAGAAGGATTCTACAAAAAGATGGCGAGTTTAATGTTGTGACTGGAGGCTGTGTCAGCCTGCCCATGCAACAACAGCTACCAGGTAAGGGAAACCTAATGCACAACTGCGAAAGACAAACTGATTAAAGATGTCTTCTAGCAATCTTGCCAGCCGATGCACACGCAAAGCCCCTTCTTCCAATGACAGACACTCTCTTGAGCCTGAGCAGTGGAGGTTGTTTCAGGCTAGGGGTAAGTAATCAATATGTTGTTTCCGAAAAACCAAGCCGACGCAACTGACATGGGTCTTAAGAGGCAGGCGAGCATCATGGGACGATGAAGTTGGTGCCCGGCTGACCCTACGTGCTACAAATGTTCATGCAAGCCAGTGGTCAATGGAGTAATTAGAATTCTGGCAGCAACCAAAGGGCCTGCTCAAGATGCAAAGCTGCAGAAGAATGTTGTCTTGAGTTTGACCCACAGTGTATGGGATGAGAGCAATGACACTGCCCACACTGTGTTGGGTTGCAACCACTATCCGAATCCTGACTAAGCCAAAGCTACACAAACGCCAAAAGCCACAGAAGCACGCAAAAAGCCGCCAACCGACCGACCGACCATGCCACGACCCGGGGCCCTTTTGGGGGTAACCCGTACACAACCACATGAGTGTGGCTCAAAAGAATCAGGGCAAACCGCAGGCTTTAGTCTTTGTTTCCTTTTTTTGAGCCACGGCATATTTACAATCTTGTCCATTATGCCTAGGCGCATCCCTGCCCACCGATGTCGCCACGATTCTTTCCTCGGCACGGCAAGTCGTCAGAGCCATGGGCGCAGCTTGTTATGGACCCAACCAAGTGGGGCCAAAGCCGATTTGCTTCAGTTTGCAATACGAATTCTGACACTTTGAATTCACAACCCACACCTCATTCTCCTCCACAAAATCTCCAATTCACCTGTGAAACTTGGGTCATCGCCCTGAGGCGTGTTGTACGTGTGAGTTCATTCCAGCCCTTGTGGGTCCCGACATCACCAAACATCTCCTGAAAAAATCCCGGGTGAAACCTGAAATTTCGGGGTGCAGCATCTGACCGCGTTTTGGTTGGTCCCCACATGACCCCCGACCGGGTGATGCCTCGGATATCCGGGTCCAAGGTGCCAAATCCTTCCTGGCCCAGACACCGCCTGAAGGACCACTCTGGCACGCCTGGCATAGCCCAAGGCTCCGACTTCAAGGGGCGATCGAGGCAGGGTACCTTCAAGGGGCGATCGAATGCGCTGTGATGAGCCAGGTTTCGCTCACTCATTGCCAATGGTGCGGCGTGTTACAAGCCGATCAAGAAGTACAAGCTGTTGCCGCACCAACGCAATCACTCCAAAGGAGCTTGGAGCACGAATAGAAATTCAGCGAAGAGCCTTGGCTTTGCCCAGATCCTGCTTTCAGCTCAAGATCGCTGGCAGGTGTGTATCTCCAAACAGCCCCTTTTTTTGAGTCTCTTCCTTGGCGCGCAAATGCTGCTGCCGCCTCAGCCAAATCAATCCGGCGGCATCTTCGAGAACAAAGTACTAGGCCACTGACGATCCGCCACCCCCCCCTTCGACTCGAGGATCCGAAAAAACCGATCGATCCGATCCGGCCTTCAAGGCTTCGACGGAGGGATCTGCATCGTTCGGCTGGTCGTCGACCTGGAATTCGGCTTTCACCAACCTCCGTTGCGTCATAATTAAGACCAGGTATCAAAATGTCCTACCCGGAAACACGAACTCCTCGCCTCTGTAGTTCGGAAGCCAGTGCTGTTTGGGACTCCTGGTCCAATTTGGGATCCTGGTCCGTTTCTAGCGGGAAAGCCAGTTCTGCCTAGTCCAGTTTCAACGGAGAAGACAGTTCTGTTTGAAAAACGCCCGTTTCTGTTGGGGAAGCAAATTCTGCTTGGGACTCCTGGTCCATGTTTAGTCAGGAATAACACTCCTGAACTGAGCGAAGGGGCGCCTGGAGTTTTCAAGCCAGATTGTCCTTCTCCCCTGTCTGGCGAATAAGTTCAGCGTCACGCGGGACCCTTAAAACCAGGGAACCCTTTAAAAATATGTTTGTCTATGTCAAAACGTGTACCCTCAAAAAATTGACACTCCCATTTTCGGACCGACCAAACCGACTTACCTCCATGGCAGTTCCCAGGGCATCGTCTGTAGTCAAAACGTGGACCCACTGCAAAAAATGATCGGCATGTCGTAGTGGTCGTTTGACAGTGTCCAGCCATGTGCTAAATACAACCCGCCCTTCACTCAGTCGGTCGGGGCTTGTTGAATGCAATACGCTGTGCGCAATACTCGCTGTAAGCATGATGTATGAGTGTAGCGCCTTAATGAAGGACACAAGTCCTCCAGCTCAGAAAATACTTGACATCAGTAGAGTGGAGTCCATAAAACAACCACACGCAAAAAACTGGAGGCGCTACGACGGCATGCAACTTGGAGGTGACCTGCTGTTTGTGATTCGAAGCAATGCTGTTTTGACAAGGATTGCAAACCAAACGAACTAGACATCACCTTGAAGCTAAGGGCTCTGATGTGGGTGTTTCTCAGTCGGTCACCATTTATGTGTCCAAATTGAACCACCACAACAACCGGGTTTCGTCAGGGGTTTCATTTTGAGTACCTATTTTTGACCCAACGGCCTGGCTTTTGGGGCTGGGCCTCCGCAGACGTGTTCGAGGCTTCCTCCATCGCCTTGGCGCGCGCCTCCGCCTTGCGCGAAACAGGCGGAAAAAGTCGGCTGCTTAAAGCGGTGGTTGGTCCGAACTTTGCGTTGCATGTGGGGGGGGGGGGGGGGCGGGAACGCTCGTGCACAGTGCCTGGAGATGTAGCGACACAAACTAACACAAGCATCCCTACCATTCAGTGACAATATGTGACGACCACGACACAGTGGATGTAAAGCATAAGCTCTGCGAAAAGATAGCCCACCCGTTCTTGGCTTCCATATTGACATGGACGAAGGTGCGACTGTTCGTGCAGGGTGCGAGATAGCAGGATCCTGCAGACGCTTTCAATGTCACCCTGCTGCGCGCACGCGAAGCGCGCTCTTACTTGTATTTCTTTGCAGCGTACTTTTTTCACCATAGAAAATGGCAACAAGACACCAGCACGCATTGCACTGGTCAGCCGGCTATGCCAGACACGTTCAAGTGATCTGTCCAATGAGAGTGGTTGCAGAGCTCTCCAGATTTGAGCTCTCAGGTGCCAATGGGCGTTGGCTCCAGGGGGGCGAATGGAGTGAGTCATATTTGGTCAACCGGCAGCACGTGTCTGAACACGCAAGCTTAGGCCAGAATGTGCTCTGGGTAAAGCGTTAAGACTTTGACATGTGGCACCGGCCAGATGTTCAAGGAGGGAGGGATCCCGAAGGATGTGGCCTAAATGGGACGCAAATAGCTCGTGCGGGTAGAAAGGTGTGGATAGAAAGGCATTCGTTGGAGCTGCAGGAACAAGGGGAGACAAATGGTTGCAGTGACTTGTCAGGGTTGAAGGACATTCTGTAACTAGGCGCAACATGCGGAAGTGAATGTAAATAGCGCTGGAGGGTCTGGACGGATCCGGCAAGAAGTGCCTTATCATCTGCACTCTCGGGGCGCAAGCATGCTGCGCAAAAGTATTTGAGTGCTGGGTGTGTACACCCTTCATGCGCAGACAGAAAGCTGATAAAAAGATAGGGGGATAGGGGAGCATGAACTCGTCTGCGGCATAGTAATGCGGTGTCCTGAATTAGGCAAATGAGTAGTTGAACTTGTGGCTCAGGTGAAGGAGGGAAGCAACCAGATGAAGCTCAATGGAGTCAAAAGCTTGCGGCAAATGGAGGAAGGGGCAGTGTGTCTTTCGTAGACTTCGACGAGTCTGCGAACCAAGAAAATGGGGCTGGAGGTGGATCGAGGCTTCTGAGGGGCTCGGAGGCCAACTGCTCTATGCTCGAGCGTGAAGTTGAGCTGGGCAAGGAGGGAGGGAGTGGTACGGGGCAAGTCTGGGCAGTTCGAATCCGCCGTTGCCATGCTTGGACAAAGCGGCCTTTGATCTTGTGAAAGGTGATCTGGTGAGAGGAGAGCTGCGGTAGCAGTGACCTGATGAGAGTGAAGAGGATTGGCATGGAGGCAGCATGTGGAATAAGCACTGGACTCAATATCGGAGATATGAATGACCTCATAGGAAGGCGAGGTTCTGCTAGTTCCGCCAGTGACTGATCTACTCAAACCTGCAGGGTTGTAGGCTCGACGCCGCATGGGACACGATATGCGCTGTGCCCCACGCCATGAGTGATAAGGTCTTTGAAAAAGAACATCACCGTGAAGAAGGGCAACAAGCCAACGTGGCCAAAAGGAGGAGAAGGCAAAGACTGTAGCGCTTTGTGAGAATTTCCCATCATGGCAAAAAAGGGCTGGAGGCAGATTCTGTCTTCAACCAAAATGTCATGCTCAACCTGAAGTTGGGTACTAAACAAACTTTCTGCTCTTGCAGGTCTGGAAGACGTCTTGTTCAATAGAGAGTTCCAACATGAGAATAGAGGCGTATCTTAAAATCATGCTGTTGCGATTAGCCACAATCGCTTCCTTGCGGATGGAGGCCTTTTGGAGCAAAAGGTGCACATTGCTGCCCAAAGCTGTCTTGTATCCCACAGCTGGCAATCCCTTGAAAAGTGCTGCCCGGTGCGCTCTGGACGGACGTTTGTCTGTTAGTCATTTCCCTCTTGAGCTGGAGAATAGAAATTATTCTGTAGACTGGGAAAACTGATCACAGAGTTTGAGGCCCTAGAGAGCAAAAAGGAAAAGCAGTGGCTGGTCTGCGGTACTGTCAACATCTGTAGTGGTTGTAGAGGGAGAGCGACGAGGCATCATAGTCCTTGAAGAGGATTTGTGAATCTTGGCAAAGTTGCCCCTAGCTTCCAGAGAGCTCTGGAGTTGTCGGCGAAGAGCAGGATCCAGCTCAATCCATTCTATTTCTATCTCAGTGAGAATCGTCAGAAACTCTTGGAAGGAGTCGTCTGTGACCGGTGTTGCACTTCTTGGTTTGGGGTGGCACGCTGGAAGTAGTCACGCCCTCGTGCAGGAGAAAGACTGCTGCTCCCCGGGGTCCTTTGAAGATTGATTGCCTCCTCTTGTCCATGCCGAAGCTGAAGCAAAGCAAAACGGACAACGTTGGGGTCTGGCTTGCGCCAAACGCGCACCCACTTGCCCTATCTTGTCGAACGCTGGGGGCCCTAGAACAACTTGAATGTGGTGGGGACGGATGTCTTTTGTGAGGATACCTGCCTCGTGTTGTGTTTAAAGGAAACTATACTGAAAACCGCTGCCATGTGTTGGGTCCAGCCCCAAATCCAGTCGTGATTTTGGGTGAATCCTCCGCCCTTATATCGCTCCATTCGCCTTTTCCAGCTCCTCCCTCGCCGCCGGGGGAGCGCTCATCTTTGCCGCGGTAATCGAAGCCGTCACCGATTGTGTTGCCATGTTCCGCTCCTTGCATCTGCCGGGCGCCGGCGTCTGGGTGGCTGGCTGGTTGAATGGCTCGTTCGTTCGTTGGCTGGTTGGCTGGTGGGCTGGCTCGTTGGTTGGTTGCTTGCTTGCTTGCTTGGTTGGTTGGTTGGTTGGTTGGTTAGTTGGTTGGTTGGTTGGTTGGTTGGCTGCTTGGCTGGCTGGTTGGCTGGCTCGTTGGTTGCTTTGTTGGTTGGTTGGTTGGTTGGCTGGTTGATTGGCTGGCTGGCTGGCTGGTTAGTTGGCTGGCTGGCTGGTTAGTTGGTTGGCTGGTTGGTTGGTTGCTTGCTTGGTTGGCTGGTTGGCTGGCTCGTTGGTTTCTTTGTTGGTTGGTTAGTTGGTTGCTTGGCTGGTTCGTTGGTTGGTTGGCTGGTTGGTTGGTTTTCAATCTGCAGGGACTCTGAGATGTGATTTGCGCTGACCATTCTGGCCATAGCCTGGCTTCAAAATCCTGGGGCCCAGGACTGGTGCATGCAAACCAACCCCAAACCCGCCAACGGATTGTTGAAATTGGTGCAGGCTTGGCGATCACTGTGTTGTATGGGTCAAATCAGAGACCGGTATTGAGAAATGAGACTTTGCGCACAAAGAATCCGCCGATTCAGACAAAAGTACTGTTGAATTGAACATCAGCTTGGGCACTTGGGATATCTAGGGATGTAACATCAGCACAGTTTGCATCATCGAGATCAGCAGTGGGCCGCATTTACAGTGCTCTGAGTTCAGCCTGAACCAACCAAGCTGACTGGCAGTATGGCGAGGCGCGATCAAAGCTCTCAGCATCTTGCGGTACTCGGTCTGCTCCTTGCAACTGCACCGGTTCGCACAGTCCGTCAACACAGTCCCTTCGGGACCAAACGGCTTCTGAAACTCCAATCTTGACGTCCCTTCGGAGGGTAGCCGGCTTTGAGAAGAATTGGTGGCAAAGCTCCGAAACCAAAACATCTCCGGAGAGCCTTTTGGGATTTAACCTCCGATTGCGTTGCGAGGTCCTGGGAGCATGTGATGAAGCTCCCCTCCCAGTCGGTGGAGCCTCAGGGACAGGCCGGTCTTTGATCACTTGCACCAAAACAAAATAGAAAGGAGGAGTGCAGTCCCAAGTAAGTGAGGCCTACAAAACAGAAAGTATATCCGAGTATCCGAGTGCGGGGCCCGCTCAGCATCCAACAAAAAACGATCGCACTCTCGCATCCCACATGCGTCCATCTTCGGCCAAGCTACAAGTGGGCGTGCAGTCCTCCATGTCGCAGAGGGCTTCCGTGATATCTGGATCGGTAGCGGGTCAAATGGGGGACCGTGGGGACCGGACCCTAAAGCGACTTCCTGCTGGTGTCCCTTTAAACCAACCCCAACAAGGGTACCCCTCCAAACAAAAAAGAAGACAAACCCTAGCTCAACAATCTGCGACCATGCCGATGTCGGACTAATCCAACTGCGGGTCAGCTGAAACACTTGCAAGCAACATTGCCTGGGTTTTTGCTTGGTTCTATCATGTTCTATCTTGGAGGTTGGTAGCTTGAATCGCCGATTTCGTTGTAGCATTGGCTTTGGGCTGGGAGGCTGAAAGGGGGGTGAAACGCATCGCGAGGCAAAATAGCCTTGACATGTCGAAATCCGTGCGGACAACGTGGGTTCTTTTCAACTTTCCCTTCGACTTCCGTATTCTTTTTTACCCCAGGTCTGAGGCATGTGGGCGCAGGTGCCTTGATCAGAGATGGTGTGATAACAACCCCTCCTTCGAACTCCTTGCTGCTCAGTAGGGACGGGAATGAACCCAGTCCCCTTGAAGGAAACCACAACAAAAATGTGGTTGATTTCGTCCCCTGAAAGGAAACCACCAGTTGGATGGCTTATATTTCGGGGTGAGCCATTTCTCCTTCCCTGCATCCAACCCTGAGGCGTCTGGCGGGCCTTTGACGTGCGCCGCAATCATGCCCTCCAGGCCCAAGCCCAGACGCATCATGCACATGTCGCCTAGGCGCGGGACTTTCTGTGACTCAAGCTGGAATTCCCAAAATGGCACCAAGAACGTATGCTCCAGCCAAACAGCCGGCCGGATGTAAATTCCCCCATGACGATCCGGAAGTAAATGGAACCTCTCTAAAGGGGCGCGAGAGGAGCTTTCCATGCTAGTCTGGGCAGGGTAAATGGAACCAAAGACTACCTGCGCTTTGCCTTGGCTCGTTAAGTTTGAGCCCACGCCCACCTTGATCGGACGATCGACTCGGTACCTCAATTAACTGGTGAAACAAGCGCCTGGTGAAATCACCCACTTGCCAGCAATGGTTCAGGGGCAGCTGGCATGTCAGGTAACTGGCTAGCAAGCCTGGTGAGATGACCCACATATCAGCCGTGGTTGTTGACCTCTCCGTTCAATGGGTTATCTGACCAGGCTTAGCGTCGAGTCTACTTACCTGACGTACCGAATCGATCGCCCCTTCAAGTCGGCGAATTGCGAAGCCCAGATGAGCATCGGACACAATGTATCTTTTTCTGCAAGGCCATGGGAAGACTTGCTGCCATGCGAGGACTTGCTGGTCCCACTGCTTTTGTGCAGGTGCTTCAGTTGTGTCCCACCCATCCACCCCCCCGATAAAACGGCACTCTTGGAGTCCTTTGCTCAGCCAAGCCTCAATCCTCACCGCTCGTGGAGTCCTCAAGCGAGGGAAAAATGTGCGTTAGCTTCTTCCCATAACCCGCACGATGGCGCACACAAGCCACCACCAAAACCTCGTCTTCAAAGCAACTGGGTGTGGGTCAAAATTCATCCACCGGACCGCCAGGTTTTAGTCTTTGGCTCCATTTACCAGGGTAACCCATTTTGGGTACCGATTTTTGACCCACAGCCAACTCAACAGAACAGGTGACAGCCATGAGTTCGCTGCTGGACAATCCTCCAATTTGTGTTCAAGGAAGTCACCCGTGCCCCTACTGAAGAAAAGCCGGTGAAGAACCTCACGACACTACGAAACACATACACCCTTGCCGGGGCAACTTGGGATTCCCCCAGATTGGGAACCTCCAAAACATCTCAAAACATCCGGACTTCGGGCTTCATGTAAAGCACCAATCCGGCCTGCCAAATAAAACACCTGTTTGATGATCCGCGCGCCCAACAGCTGCATAGATTCGTTGGCACGGGCCTGACTGGTGAAGTACCAAGAAACCCGAAGGGACTGTAGGGAGAAATAGAAGTTGCCATGGCCTTCGCTAATGAACCGTGAAACTTTCGTGCACGAACCAAAACAAAAACGGAACTGACGGCAAACGTCAAGTCGAAACCAGCGGTGCATGGAGCCAGGCCATTGCCCAGCCTCTCTATATGAAGTGGTACCCCCTACAACCTCCAAGAAATAGCAAGAAAATAGCATCACACGAGTCGTGGGTATGAAGAGCGAAAGAAAAACAGAGAGAGAAAAAAGAGAGAGAGAGAGAGAGAGCTAGAAAGAGAGCTAGAAAGAGAGCTAGAAAGAGAGAGAGAGAGAGAGAAAGAGAGATAGAGAAATACAGAAAGGGAAAAGAAAGAAGAAAGAAGAAAGAAGAAAGAAGAAAGAAGAAAGAAGAAAGAAGAAAGAAGAAAGAAGAAAGAAGAAAGAAGAAAGGAAGAAAGAAAGAAAGAAAGAAAGAAAGAAAGAAAGAGAAGCAAGGGAGAAAAAGAGAGAGAGAGAGAGACTTAGCTAATTAGTAAGCTAGCTAGCTAGCTAGCTAGATAGCTAATTAGTTAGTTCGTTCACAAGCGAATTCCGCAGGCCCTCGAAGCCCACCGCCTCGGCGTCAATGACACCATCCGAGGGCAGTTCTGGCACGACCTGCGTAAGGCCGACCGGTCCAACAACATGTCGCGTGGAACTCGGATTCGAATGTCAACTTTGGCTTCCGCCAGCCCCGGCCCGCGCGGGTGGTGGCTTTTGTCGACTTTGTGTTCATTTTATCGTATGTTGTTTCTTTGTTTTGTTGGGGGTCTGAATGCAAAGAGCGTCCTCCAAATAGCCATGGAGATTGATCCCCAACCTCAAGGGCGACATCCCACGCCCGGCACGCTCGCGTCCCTCACCCGGCCCCCTCACCTCAGGGATGACAGGGGGCGGCGATGGGGAAGGCGAAGGAGAAGGCGAAGGAGAAGGCGAAGGGGATGGCGAAGGGGATGGCGAAGGGGATGGCGAAGGGGATGGCGAAGGGGATGGCGAAGGCGAAGGCGCCTGGCTGCATCTTCACAAGTGGGTGCGTCGTTTCTTGTTTGGGGCACCCCCAAAACGGATTCGTTGCTTTGTGTCGTTGTTTCTGTCTGGTGCTCTTGGTGTCCATTTGAAAGGGGGGGCAACCAAGGAAACCACCAAGTTAGAGTATCCACTCTCCCACCCAATTGTTGCAAAGCGCCTCGGTGGAGGGCGTGGGCGAGGGAACCTAGCAAGGATGAAAAGACTCATGCAGCAAGCCGCATGGGAAAGGTGAGTCGCTTCTGCTCAGAAAAACCCGTACTTGGTGGTTTGGAGTGGTTCAGGAGCCGATGTTGAAGCCAAAATGGGGCAAAGAAAATAAGACATGTCCAAATCACCAATGAAATTACCAACCACATGGAAGCTGATCTTCAGGTCAGCAAAAGTGGAATGTCTTTATGGCGAGGTTTGAAAGTTCTCAGCTACAAAATCCTACAAACACACATGTCGCAAGGCACCTTTTAGGATCTAGATCTATTGCCTCTCACCTCTACATGTCGTGGTTGTAGCGGCACTTTTCAAGCTGCAGTCGCCGTCTCAAGTGGCAACAGGCCGTCCGAGGTGGAGGTGTGTTTCCCTTTTAAAGACAGGCAACGTGTGCTCAAGCTGCTCTAAGCCTGAACTTTTGGTTCAGGTTGAGTTGCTTGCTTACGCTGTCCGCAAGTAAAGTTGCTGGATTATTTTGACACTGGTCGCCTAAGTTTGGCGCCGCAACGTGGGCGCGACTAGAGTAGCAGGCTGGTTGGCTGGCTGGTTGCTGGTTGGCTGGTTGGCTGGTTGGCGGGTTGGCTGGATGGCTGGATGGCTTGGCTGGATGGCTGGATGGCTTGGCTGGATGGCTGGATGGCTGGATGGCTGGATGGCTGGATGGCTGGATGGCTGGATGGCTGGATGGCTGGATAGACAAACAAATGGCATGGTTGTCGTGCGGTCGGGCCAGTGACCATGTTCTTGGGCTGGACTTGTCAAAAACCTCTCCAAATGTGTCCCGCATCCTTGGGCCTTACCCCCACTCCCCTCACACCTCCCATTGGAACTTGGCAAAACCATCGGTGGGAACAAAGTAATGCGCGGCTGTTGGTCAAGACATGCCGCTCCAAGCAACGAGAATAGTTTTGAAATGAGCTGGTCCCCCATAAAGAATGACGATTCCCCTGTAAATACCAAACAAACGTGGCTTCAACCCATGGGTTTCAAAGTAGTGCGGGAGCTCGCAACCCTCCACAGGTCGCTTGGACAAGGAAAAGCACGGGCCCCTCCAGCGCTTCCAAGGCGCGCTGGAGGTAGAACCGGAGGACTGGCAAGAGCCCCAACCCCTCCCAATCTAGTTCCCCTGACCTGATTTCACCCAAATATGGCCCAAAGAAGGCCAGATTAAGGGCTTATGTTCAGGGATTGGACTGGAATCCTATGAATTTGTTGAGTTGGGTGGCGGCGCTGCCCTTTACAACCCTTGGTATGGGCTTGCAACAAATGATCTGGTGTTTGCAGCCCCTAACAACGAACAGAACCAATAAACCTAAAAACCCAAAACATGCCAATGACGGCGAAGCTTCTTTAACACCCGATTTGAACCAAGGTTGGCATACCAAGAGCAAACCTACACTTTAGGTAGGCAATACATCTGCCCCGTGGATGGGGAAAAAAAAAGCAAAACTGGAAGGATGACCTCACAAAGGAAACCCATGTCTGGAAAAATGATCATTTGGGGGGTTGGGGGGGGGGGATCAATATTCCTGGCCCTCAAATGACCATGCGCAGCTGGTCCCATGTCGTTGAAATATCATCAATTTCGTGGTTTTCCCACCGATGGGCATCCCATGTTGATACAGGACGTGTTGATCAACCCCTATTTCTTCCGCACAAAATCCTCAAGGCCCTGTCAATCAAAGAGGTAGTCGGCTCGTGGAGTCTTCTTTCAGACCCGAGACAACGTGGCTGGACTGATCCCTGAAAAAGCCGTAGAAGGGCGGTTGCAGCATCTGCATCCAAGCTAAAGATGTTGGCAAACAGCAGGTTGCACCAACCAAAAGACTCCAAAAAGAGAATTGCTGCAATGTCAACTCTCGACCCAAAAACGAACTTGGGGTGGGTGGACTTGGGGATTGAATTCCTGTCATATCGTAAGCTTCCCTCGAGGATAGTTTCCAATGAACCCTCCATAAGAACCAGGGGGATTTGAACCCAAACTCCAAACCTCCAGTGCATAGTTCCCTGAAACGCAGCCAAAGTCCTCCCGCCCCAAATCTCCTTCAGCGTTGCTTCAGGAGCACCCTCCGATTCCCGAACCCCTGAAATCAACGCCAAAAAAAAGGGGGAAATTAAGAAGAAGAAAAAACACACACACACACACACAAAAAAAAAAAAAAAGAACACGAGAACGTCCAACGCTCAGAAAGCGCTCTCGATCTTCTCCACACGTGCGGGGGGACGCGGGGACGCGGGATGGCGGGGCCGGCCCGAACGCGGCCTCGCTGGAGATCTCCTCGTCCAGCAGGTTGTCCACCGAGTCGATGCTCGCCATGGGCGATGGCGCCTCCGGACGCGAGACCCGACCCGACGAGCCCACGACCGCGTCGCGCTCTTTGGGGATGCGGAGAAACCCGCCGGGTTGAAGTTGTGACCCAAAAAAAGCAAAAGACGGCGGTGCCCGGTTTCAAAATGATATGAGTGCTTGCTCGTTGTGACTCTCCCGGCAGAAAAAAAAAATAATGAAGAGAAAAAAGATTGGTTGCAGGTAAAGAGATCATCCGGCCAAAGGGAAATTCATTGCACCACCTTGGTCCCGCCACACCTCCCCGAGGGTGAGAAGACTCCAGCAACATCAAAACCAACCACCCATACTTGACAGAAAGAAGCAGAAAGTGTCTACCTTCAGCAAAGCTCTTCCCCTGAATTGCGCGTCTCTTGTGAGAGTGGGTGTCTCAGATTACACTCGCCTTCCTGGAACATGCTTGGTACCAGTCACCAGAAAAACAAGAAGAGCTGGTCGAAAGTTGAAGGCGATGCTGCACCAAATCAGGATGCCAAACCAAACCGGATCTCTCTTGCAGAAAACCGCTCCTTCCCAAATAGTAACTTAGTAGCCCGGCTCGTTGTGAAACCGAATCCAGCCAGACCTTCATTCACAACTCAGGACGTACCAAACTACAGCACCTCCCGACTGCGAGCTATCTGATCGAACCTTGGCCATCTCGCGGGCATTGAGTTTCACTGGCGTCACTGGCACCTCGTGGGCGGTCGCTTGCTCGCCATCCGGCTGCTGTTTCGAACGCAAAACACTTGGCTACCGCGATGTTGCGTACACATGTGAGCCACAGTCAATAGTCATTGCACCCCACCATGAAAATTTGGTGAGACACAAAACAACACCGAGTATCGCCTGTTGCTCATGCGTCAAATTTGCGCAACTCCTAGAAAGGCCTGGGCTCTCTTGGGAACTTACAGGTGAACCGAGTGACACCAAAAAAGGTCTTGACAGGCGCCGGTCAAACCCAACAATCAAGTGTTTTCTGCCCTTCGGCCTTCACTAGCGCGCAAAACTCAGCGCATCTCAGAGTATCTGCAAATATCGAAAGTCACAGCCACGAACGGCATTGCAAAAGCTGCCCTCCATGCCTTTTGTCAGACCAACAAACTCTGCTTGTGACACTGACATTGTCAAGCTTTGGTCCGGCTCTGATGCTCCCCCCACTTCACTCCCCAGTCAAGCCACCGTAGGAGATGCTCTTGTGATCACCTGGCAAGAGAAATTCGCTCATGGCGCCCGAAGCCCAACCTACTGACCTTCCTATCAAAATTGGAATCCACCACTTTCCGCACGCGGAAACCGCCCATGGTCAACACTTCCCACAAAAAACAATCGCGAAGCAGACGTCTTGACGGGTCGACTGTGGCACTGCCCCGGAAAATACGGCCTCGCCTCCACCGGAGAGACCTTAGATGTCCGCGTCTGTTCGTGTCTGTAAGCACACGCACATAAGCACACTTGTGCGTGTGTGTGTGTGTGTGTGTGTGTGTGTGTGTGTGTGTGTGTGTGTGTGTGTGTGTGTGTGTGTGTGTGTGTGTGTGTGTGTGTGTGTGTGTGTGTGTGTGTGTGTGTGTGTGTGTGTGTGTGTGTGTGTGTGTGTGTGTGTGTGTGTGTGTGTGTGTGTGTGTGTGTGTGTGTGTGTGTGTGTGTGTGTGTGTGTGTGTGTGTTGTGTGTGTGTGTGTGTGTGTGTGTGTGTGTGTGTGTGTGTGTGTGTGTGTGTGTGTGTGTGTGTGTGTGTGTGTGTGTGTGTGTGTGTGTGTGTGTGTGTGTGTGTGTGTGTGTGTGTGTGTGTGTGTGTGTGTGTGTGTGTGTGTGTGTGTGTGTGTGTGTGTGTGTGTGTGTGTGTGTGTGTGTGTGTGTGTGTGTGTGTGTGTGTGTGTGTGTGTGTGTGTGTGTGTGTGTGTGTGTGTGTGTGTGTGTGTGTGTGTGTGTGTGTGTGTGTGTGTGTGTGTGTGTGTGTGTGTGTGTGTGTGTGTGGGTGTGTGTGTGTGTGTGTGTGTGTGTGTGTGTGTGTGTGTGTGTGTGTGTGTGTGTGTGTGTGTGTGTGTGTGTGTGTGTGTGTGTGTGTGTGTGTGTGTGTGTGTGTGTGTGTGTGTGTGTGTGTGTGTGTGTGTGTGTGTGTGAGTGTGTGTGTGTGTGTGTGTGTGTGTGTGTGTGTGTGTGTGTGTGTGTGTGTGTGTGTGTGTGTGTGTGTGTGTGTGTGTGTGTGTGTGTGTGTGTGTGTGTGTGTGTGTGTGTGTGTGTGTGTGTGTGTGTGTGGGTGTGTGTGTGTGAGTGTGTGTGTGTGTGTGTGTGTGTGTGTG